TTGGCGAGCACAAACTACAGGACGTGGTGATTAAAAGTTATCAAAACGCTCTGCAGATGAGGCCCGGTTTGGAAATGGTGGCCCGTGCAATTTCAACCAATGGCCATTTTGTCCATTTTTGCTGTGTTTCTGACATTCAACGGAGTCCTGTCGGAAGGCCGTTTCACCTACTGCTACAAGATTAGGTAGACATGTATAGCAGGTCAGTACGCACAAAAAAGTCAATCAACGCCAAGCCCTAAACCCAACAGGAACTCCGTCATTTTGAAAAAACAAGGTGACAATTCTGGCGATTTTGCCAAACTTTTGGACATTTTTGCCCATTTTCAATATCGATCTCCTCCTACTGGGAAGGTCGTACACACCTGAAATTTGGCCAGCACAAACTACAGGAGGTGGTGATTAAAAGCTCGTCAACTGGTCTCCGAAAGTCTGACGGTGTGGTTTGATACATTTTATAGCTTTATAGTGGTTGCAAGGGATTTTTACCACACCAGTTTAAAGTCTGTGCTCTTCAAGTTCAAGCAATATGTGGACTTCAAAACCAGAGGAGAGAACATTTTGGACTTGGTGTATTCAAACTTCCCTGATGCAAGGTGGTAACCAGCTACATTGCTAAATGTACAGAGGATGTTACTGTCATTAAGACCTTCACAGCACGTGGAAACCAAAAACCTGGGATGACTGCAGAGGTGCGCTTGCTGCTGACGGCCCGTGATGCAGCCTTCAGAGTGGGAGACAGGACTGCTCTTCACTCAGCCAGATCTGAGTTCTCAAAAGGGATTAAGAAAATCCAGGAACACCTCTGTGACACAGGAAACACCAGACGGATGTGGCAGGGAGTCCAGGCACTGATGGACTATAACACCAGGCCGGGGGTCGTCAATGATGACGCCTCTCTTTCAGACAGCCTCAACAACTTCTTTGCATGCATCAAACCCGACAATCAGACAGAGGGCTGGTCCTTCTCCTTCATCTGTCAGGCCAGCTTTCACCATCAGTGCAGCAGACACACGGAGGACCTTAGCCAGGGTCAACCTACAAAAAGCGACAGGACCGAACAACATCCCGGGATGTGTGCTCAGAGTCTGCGCTAACGAGCTGGCAGATGTGCTGACTGACATTTTCAACATCTCCCTCAGTCAGGCCATTGTCCCCAGATGCTTCAAAACATCCACCAGTTCAAGTGGCAAAGAAATCAGTTGTAGCTTGTCTGAATGACTATTGCCCCATCACACTGACACCGATTGTGATGAAGTGTTTTGAACGGCTCGTCAAACCACACATCACAGCCAGCCTTCCTGCATCACTTGACCCCCTTCAGTTTGCTGACTGTCCCAACCGCTCCACAGAGGATGCAATATCCACCATCTTGCACTCAGTCATCACCCAACTGGAAAATAAAGGTACCTACACTAGAATCCTGTACATTGATTTCAGCTCAGCATTTAATATAATCATCCCCCAGAGACTAATAGAGAAACTCCTCCTACTCGGCCTGGATACCGCCACATGTCTCTGGGTCCTGGACTTTCTGACCGAAAGACCCCAGCCTGTCCGAGTCGGAAAGAACATCTCCAACTCCATCATGCTGAGCACTGGATTTTCTCAAAGGTGTGTACTCAGTCGACTGTTGTTTACACTGCTAACACACGACTGTGCAGCCACACATGAGGGGATCCAGATCATCAAGTTTGTTGATGATGCCACAGTAGTGAGACTTATTCACAAGAACAAATAATCAATGTAGGTGAAACACCTAGAGGGCTGGTGCAGTAAGAACAACCCAACGTGGACAAAATGAAGGAGATGATCATCGACTTCCAAAGGTCACGTCCTGAGCATGCTCCCCTTAGCGTCAGCGGCTGCACAGTGGAGAGAGAGTGGAGAACATCAAGTTCCTCGGAGTGCAGATCTTGCAAGACCTGAGCTGGAATAAGAACACAGCAGTAATCATCAGACGGTCCCAGCAGAGACTACATTTCCTGAGGAAGCTGAAACAAGCCTCTCTTCCTGCCAGCATCCTCAAGACTTTTTACAGAGGTGTGGTGGAGGGCGTTCTGACATACTGTATCTCAACATGGTACTCTAGTTGCAGTATGTCAGACAGAAAAGCCCTGCAGAGGATAGTTTGAGGAGCTGAGAGGGTCATCAGAGTTTCCCTCTCCTTTGTCCAAGAACATTTTCCAGAGCCGCTGGAGGAGCAGGGGCACTGACCATTGTCAGGGACTCCTCACACCCTCTCCATAAAAAGTTTGAACTGCTACCATCAGCACTAAAGGAAGAACCTCCAGAATGATCAACAGCTTCATTCCACAAGCTGTCACAATACTGAATTGCTGATCTAAATATGCAAACACTTCTTTATTCAAATTGCTTTAAGTTATTGGATCCTGACGAAACGCTCTTTCATCTTGCCTGTACTACTGTGTATGTACAGCAAAATGACAATAAATTTGATTTGATTTGATTTGACCCAGATTTTATCAGTTTTTGTGTAAACAGAATATTTTGGGCTAGTGTGCGTTTTAATGTTCGTTTTGAGAGTTAAATTAGAGAGGGGTTGTGCATAAAGTAAGAGGCTGGAGTGAGCATGTGGTCAGCCTGGAATAATATGTAACTGTCCCTGATATCAAAGCTGGAAACTGTATAGAAGTTCTTAATATTAAGTTTCAACAGCAGAGGAGCTGCAATTTCAAGATCACATTGAAAAGATCCCAGTTTTTCACGGGGGGATGATCGCAAAATTCCAGTTATAAAGATATACAGCCGTTCTCAAATTTACTCATACCCTCCCATGAGAGAAGGAAAAAAAACAGCTGTCACTGAAGTAAGCTGAAATTGACAAAAGTATAAATAAATAAAAATTTTATGAAAATCATGACATTGCTTTTGAATTGTGGTTCAACAGAAATATTTTTTTTAAAAACAAACAAACAAACAAAAAAAACGCAAGCAAACAAGCATGATGGGACCCGTGAACTAATATTTTGATGAACAACCCTTTCAGGCAATCAAGTGTCTTCTGTAACTCTCAATCAGACTTCTGCACCTGAAGACAGGTATTTTGATTTTGGCCCACTGCTCATCAGCAAAGGGCTCTAATTTGTCCAGGACAGGTTTTTTTGTTTTTTTTTTAAATATATTTTTTTGGCTTTTGCCTTTATTTAGTGCAGTAGAGGGAGACAGGAAAGGGGGGAGAAGAATGGGGACAGACCTGCAGCAAAGGGTCGTGAGCGGGATTCGAACTCACGACCGCTGCATCGGGGAACTACAGCCCCTGTTCATGGGCCGCCCGCTCTACCAGGTGAGCTACAGGGGGGCCCTGGTTTTTGTTTTTTTTAATTATTCTTTTCAACCACAATTCAAAAGCAATACTTATTTCACTAAGCTATAATTTAGAAAATTTTTGTTTATTATTAGTTTTTTCAGTTTCTACTTATTTGAGTGACTTTTGTGAACTTTACCTTTTCTGTAATGGAAGGGTATGAATAAATTTGAGGACGACTGTACTGCATCCAAATATACCACCTTGTCCAAGTTCTTGTGGTGTTAAAGGTTTATACCACCCAAATACTACTTTTTTTCTGCAATTTAACTTTGTTACCAAGGGTTGCACACTGAGCAATTTGTTTAATGATTAGAATTTGATAATTTTCAGGTAAAGCAAAGATGAAAGATGCTATGTAGTCAATAGATCTCAAACATACATACATATGCACATCTAAAAAATCTATACTGTATACTTGCTCTGATTGTCTTCCTTCCGGCCCTGAAAAGTCTCAAATTGTTGTGAAAAACAAGGGTCCTTGAAATGCAGTCCTACAACTCATGTCCTAAAAAAATGTAGCCTTCTTTACTGCAGACACAACTTGAAGTGCTGCACAGACAGTTAACAATAATGAGATTGCTTTGTGTCTGTCTGTATATACATACTGTATATATACATTTTTCAGATTTCTACCTATTGCTAATTAGTAGTAAATGTTAACAATATGATCATAAGATGGTGAACCTGGTGAACTTTATGCTAAACATCAGCCTGTTCGTATGTAGCACCCTGTTAAAATGGTGATGTCAACATTTAGCTCAAAGAACTGTTTTCATGCTCATGGGGCTGCCCGCAAGGCTTTAGTCCCTTAATCTCATTTTCTTTTGGACAGAGCCAAGGCGTTGGTGTTAATATTCTCATTTGACTCATATGAATCTAAACATTTTACAAGTAGACTGTTTAATACTTATAATTATTTTTAAAAAAATAAAAAAGGGCCAGTGTTGAAGCATGACCCAACACCTCGAGCCATCTTTCAACAGTGTGTCTCATCCTGGGAAAACTCAACACCACTGACATGATGCTGTTCTCATTACAGCGTCTCTGCCATGCCGCCTTTAGTCACTTACATTTGTAAATAATCCATCTCGACTTTTGTGTCCCATTGAGCTGCTTGGCTGTTTAACATGGATGACTGACCTGTCCTTGACCACTTCATGCCACCAAACAGGCTCCTGGAGCTACAAGAGAGCTTCTTAGTGTGTATTTTTTTCATGCTTCTTAAAAAAGAAAATGTTTTGACATAAATATCTGTCCCTAAATTTGGCGCCCGACAGTACATATCATTGAAGCAGGTGGCCATCTTTCCCGTTGAGCTCTCTGTAGCATACTAAATGTGCTAAGATAGCTTTCTGAGGGCTCTTTGATAGTGAATGTCACCTTGTCTGTGTTTGAATATTCATAAGTAGTGCAACTGTACTGGAGTAAAACATCATACATACTTAATATCAATGGAAAATATTGCATTATCCTTGCATATTCTGTAGTGCAGTCACAGAGCATGAACAGAAAATGGAAAACTGAGCTACAAACAAGACTATATTTGTTCCTGAGGATTGCAGGAGCTGGACACGCTCCATAATCATCTGTGCCCTACCTTCCAGTTCTCTCTCGTGCTGTATGACTCATGACCTTGTTTGCTGATTGGCTCTGTGTCTTTGGTTTCCAGGACGACCACTCTATGTTTTTCCAGTTTGGTCCATCCATCGAGCAGCAGGCCTCCGTCATGTTGAACATTATGGAGGAATACGATTGGTACATCTTCTCCATAGTCACCAGTTACTACCCTGGGTACCAGGACTTTGTCAACAAGGTAAATAAACACACTTCAGCACTCTGATGAAGAAAAAAATGTGATATATTTACTGTTTATTTAGTACCTCTGTCTGATAGTTTACAATCAAGATAAATTTACTACCTTTTTGCAAAATATACTGCTAGGCAATAAGTTGAGGCCAGAAAAAAAAGGATGGATATTATCGCAAAGATAGATGTTTTCCTTTGATAAGAGCTGACGCCAGAGGCAGCAGGATACGTATTAGTTATAAAGCTAATGGCCGTAAAGTTTTTCAACCATGCATTCAAATGACAGATTCACTTTCACTCTGGGTCCCAGGCACATTAGATATTATTACTTTTGTTTTTTGGGGACCCATTATGGGAGGCCTGACATTACTGTAGTTCCTTTGATAAGATATATATCTTATTTTTTTGGTTTTCTTTTTTCATTTTGTGAGGATTATGTATAGCTGGTGAAATGATACTAAAAACAACCTCACTATTTCTGTGAACATGATTGTCTGTTTTAGAGTCATGGTTTCAAACTTTTAAAAATTATAAGCTTGGCAGAGTCTGATATAAGTGGGTAGCTAGCTCCATTTTCTGATTGCTTTAATGGAAAAGGCTGATTGTCTGAACATGTCCTTTTGAATGCAGCCGTGCACGTAGGCTTCAGCCGCCTTATCTCTGGGGCTGAGAACAGACTCTATAAAGGGGCTAGTATGAGATCCTGAATAACTTTAAACATCAAACACTCATCTGAGAAAAAAAAAAAAATCTATTGAAAGCCAGCTAATCATATTTTGTGCTAATATTGCAGCAACTACAATGTCTTTTCTTTGTACAAAGTTGAAGTAACAATCTGGTTTTAAAGAAAGAAAAACATCCTGTGTATTCATGTGAAAGAGGATATTCACTGCCCATATTCCTCTGAGGAACTCCTCACAGTCGTCAGGTTAACTTTTGCCCCTTTCAGACATGAACTCCTTTCTGTTAATCTGATGGCAACTGAACATGTCAGCTTCATGCCTGAATGAGCACTCTTCTCACTTTTTCTTGTCAAAGCAGCGACATGAGGCTTACTAGGTCAGACCTAATACCATTTCTGTATCACTTTCAACACAACACAAGTCTGAACTGCAGTCAGTCGTATTAACGAATAGGCATTTATTTGAGTTATGCAAAGCAATTCGTGTAAAGCTTTTCCCACATTTCACACACCAGTATTGATGCAAAAACCTCACAAAGAGCACAAAAGAGAAAATTTGAGAAGCTTTGTTGTTGCTTTTTTTCTACAATTTTACATCTATTAAAGACTGAAATGTCGATAAAGTATAACTTTTCTGCAATAAAGACAGACTGTTACAGGCCAGATTAATGAGACTCACCAATAATGAATGTAATCAGCATTTTGATAAACAATAAAAGCATCTTAAGCTTAATTTGTTGCTTTTAGCTGTTGGTAGGTGTTTTCTTTCTCTGACTTTATCGAATGCTTGTAGCAGTAGACAGCAGCAGAATCCACATAAACATCTCCAAAGAAATTGTGTGCATTTACACATTTGGCACAACTGCTTCCTTAATTACTTAGAATTTGGGATGTTGGGTGCCAATTATGGGCATTTATAACTGATCAGCATAAACCTATGGACAATTCTTTGTTTAAATAAACCAAAAAACAAACAAACATGAACGACCATCAGATGTGCAATTTGGATACCATATTACAGCCCTAGTTTATCCTAGCTTAATTTAACATTTGTTCGATGTCAGTAAGCCTCAGAGAAGTCTTTATCACAGTGCACCTTTGATTACGAAACTCCCACAATACTGTCTGTTTGCCAATACGAAAGTCCCCACTTTCTCTGGTCAATACAGTAATGAACAGTAAGAGGTAATCAGATACGACAGCTAATCTATAATACTTAAATGTGTATTATTTAAGAAAATGGTGTCGGGTATCTCCAGATACTAAATATAAAATGACTCAGATCAGATCAGGAGCAAAAAAAAAAACTTGAATGGGACATTCATACTTATAATTATAAATTATCCCCAACATGGAGACAGGATCGCTCAAGTTCTAACAGCAAATTACACCGTCTACTGTCCTTCACTTTAAACATATGAGCTGTCACACAGAGCTTATCAGCTGCAGTTAAATCAGTTGTTACATTGCAGATGTCCTCAGGTTGAGTCCTGAGCTTCATCACAGCATCCTTATGTATAGTTTCTCAGCAAGAAAAATCTCGAAGCCCCAGTGACTTTAGCAGTGAGGAAAGCTTAAAGCAGTTCATATTTGTGGAACCACTTATTACCAGTATAAATCTCATTCCGTCCCACTGTCTTCTCTCAAGCAAATATCAAACATACATAAAAAGATCCAAGTTTTCTTTGCTGTCCTTACAAAAAAAGTGTTGTAATGGAATATACGACACGAAAAGTGCCTTGCTTTGTCTGTTATTCAACGTATATGACTCCCTTTGAATTGATTTCCCGGACAGTTATTATTGTCTGACCCTGAAACACAAAACAAAAATATTTCTTTCATCTAAATGCCACATACAAGTTTGAGATCCACAAATGTAAATTTAGAGACAGTCCTAAAATCACGTCTCGCTGCACTGCATATTAATTTATTTACACTGTGGTATTAGTCTCTGGGTTTACAGGTCACCACAAAATAAATAAATAAATAAGTCAACCTGACTATCTCCCAGAGAGTTTCCTCTTTGTGTGTGAGGATATAGCCTTCAGTTTTCAAAAGATTTCCTACTCCTGCTCTTGTTTAAAAAAAAAAAAAAACTCCTGCCTTTTCCCAAGAGATGTGTAAAGACAAACTGTTTGCCAATCTGGGGGCTGGAGGAGGAGACATTTCAGTCAGTTTTGTTCCAGGATCTCTCCTTCACAGCTCCACAGCAAGTACTCTGCCCACACTTTTTCAAATAACCTCCTCCTTTTTCCATCCAGGTCCGCAGCACTATTGAGAACAGCTTTGTAGGCTGGGAGCTGGAAGAAGTCCTCCTACTGGACATGTCAGTGGATGACGGCGACTCCAAGATCCAGAACCAGCTGAAGAAACTGCAGAGTCCTGTCATTCTCCTCTACTGCACAAAGGAGGAGGCCAGCACTATTTTTGAGGTGGCTCATTCTGTGGGCCTCACAGGTTACGGCTTCACCTGGATTGTGCCGTCGCTGGTGGCCGGTGATGCGGACCACGTTCCCGCTGTCTTCCCTACAGGTAGAACACAAACACCAGATCAGTAGGAGGGTTTCAGAATTTAATAGATATCACATCTGGTTAAAGTATTTTACTGTTAGTAACAGAAAAAATGCAGCTGATTAAAGCTAGCAAAGAAAATCATATTCACATCTACTTGTAATACTTGCAGTTTTTGTTCTTCTTCCCCTTGAAAAGCTGTCCAGGGCTTTTTGGTAGGAGTTTTTCCTTTTCTGATTAAAAGGATATAGGAGTGTTATTTTGGGCTATATAAAGAACCGCCTTGAATGTAATCCTACCAGTGACTTCTAGTATCAAACTTAACACTCAATCTAAGACATAGTATAGATGCTGCCAGTCGTTTTCCTAATGTGTTCATTTTCCCCCTCAGAATCTTGTATTCATAGTTTAGAGGTGAAAAGATTTTACACTTGACTTCCTGAATCATAATATTGGGGATAAAGGCAGGTCAAGGGCTGCTTTAGGACCAGTTTTTAATCTGGAATCAGTTATTAACATTTTGACAGCCAAGGAACCGGCTCTCTGGAACCAAGAACTTCCATCAGGGCCCGGGGAGAGATTATCATGGACAACAAAACCAACTTTTCTATTTTTTTTAATCCAATAAAAAAGAAAGACCAGAGCTCCAGTCTTGAGATGAAATTGAACCACCGTTGCGTGAAAAGCCGATGAGGTCATTATTCGTCTAATTTTCTCGGCTGTTCGATGTTTTAATATCACCAGCTGATGTTCATAAATGGCGGTGCACAGAGCGCTGTTCACACTCACTCGCTGCTGTTTGCAATGCCGTTTATCAACGCTGACTGGTGATATTAAAACACCAAATGGCAGGCAAAATGAGAGGAATAATGACCACAGCGGATACCAACAGAGGACCGTGGGAGAGACAAACTGTTTCCTTGCACTGTGGTGCCCGACAGAAGTTCAAAACAATGAGCCTGGTGTTTAAACAGACGTATACCATGACATAATAACACGATTGTATGATGGCTCTATAGTCTGTGGAAAAGCAAGCCAGTTCTTTGAGGGTTCGCAATTTGAGCCAAAGCAGAACTAGCATCTGGTTTGCATTAATGAAAAGGGATCATAATTGTTTTTAGCAAACAGCACAGACAACAGAACTTCAATGAAGGACTGTGTTGAAAGTGCCAGTGTCTGATTTTTGCATTTCTGTTTACTGATCCTTTCTGATGTTTAAAGGGGTCACTCCTAAACCCCCATACATAACTCCTCATTGAACAAGTCAGTAAAATCTATGTTGCATTATTCTGTGGCAAGTTCTCGAAGAACTTGATACTGAAATGTGGGCACAAGTGACAGATGGGCTTGTTTGCATATATGCAAATGCTCTCCGAGTGTATTTGCAGTGCACTTTGGCAGTGAGTGAAGGGATGCATACTGATTCCTGTTAACCTCAACTAAGTGAGTTTATAATTTATTTGGGTGTTAATTTCATCATATTTGATCATTTGATATGTACTCACTTTGCAGTATCTCATGAATATCGGATATAGACTGACTCAAGAGATTCAAAATTCAAGGTCTTTATTGGTCACAAACATAGTCATACACGGTATAACGCGCAGTGAAATGCTTTGTGTACCTGTTCCACACCGAAACAATATTATGAAATGAATAAAAATACAAGTGTTACTGTTATATTGTGGCTATACATTTTGGTATCATAATGGAATCCATTGTTAACAAAATTCCCAGTGATGTTGTTTTGAAAATATTTCTCCAGGGCACAAGGCCATTTTGCAATGACTCCCCCAAGAACCCTTTCATTCACCAAACATGTTTGAAGATGTTCATTTCAGCGACATTACTTTTTTTTTTTTGGCCTTTGTGCCCTTTTATTGATAGTGCAGTGAGAGAGATACAGGAAAGGGGGGGAGAAGAATGAGGGGAGGATGTGTGGGAAAGGGTCATGAGCGGGATTCGAACTCATGACCTCCACATTGGGACTGTAGCCCTGCACATGGGACGCCAGCTCAACCAGGTGAGCTATAGCAGCGCCCCGACATTACTTTTACTCTTGTTCAATTTGCGTCAGCAGGAAAAATAACAAAATCCAGTTTTAACTTTGAAACCAGTAGGAACACGAAGACTGTCTGAAAATGCAGGATTGTCTTTTTTTTTCTTCTTTAATGCATTTACAGTGCAGGTTTCAAATGTGAACACATAATCCAAACCAGACATGGAAAATGACCTGAAAGTGCACGTGTTTATTAGGGGTGCAACGATACACAAAATTGACGGTTTAGTTCGGTTCAATATGTTTTTGTTATGGTTCGATACTTTTTTGATACAAAAAAAGAGAAATTTGCTTGCCTTTTTTTTTTTTAACTTCTTTTTAAAAAATTAAATGTATCTGGTGAAGGCCTGACACATGTTCTGCTGTGCATACATAGCACCATATAAAACAAAAACAACACCAAATAAAAGATAAGAATAACAATAAATAAATAAAAAATTATCTGATGGAGAAATCACCCATTCTTAGCAGCAGAGTATATAATACAAATAAATTGTACCTTACAAAATAAAGCTATATGATACCCATCTTCTGGGGTATATTCTCAGCAGCATATTAAACAAAAACAGCTCCTTATAAAATAAATCACTCTCTGATGGAGCTACATCTTCTGGAGTGCTAATGGCTGTCTAAATGACTTGGGTAAAGTTTGTACCATGTGTGCTGCTTGTTGTTTTTGTCTGACTCCACTTGTTTTCACACCGGGGTGATGTCGGCGTAAATTCGTGTTCATGTTTGTTGTATTTCCACTGATGTATTTTAGCATCATGTTACACTTGCGACATCCATCCATCCATCCATCCATCCATCCATCCATCCATTATCTATACACCAATCCTCACTAGGGTGGCGGGGGGCTGGAGTCTATCCCAGCCGACTTAGGGCGAAGGCAGGGGACACCCCGGACAGGTCACCAGTCTATCGCAGGGCCACACTTAGAGACAGACAACCAAGCACACTCACATTCACACCTACAGACAATTTAGAATCACCAATGAACCTCAACATGTTTTTGGACTTGTGGGAGGAAGCCGAAGAACCCGGAGAGAACCCACTCTGCATGGGGAGAACATGCAAACTCCACGCAGAAAGATCTCGGGTGGCCTCACCGCGATGCGAACCTTCGAGCTGTGAGGCAACTGCGCAACCCACATAATGCTGTATTTTATTGTCCAAGATGCACTTTCCATCAGGGTCACACTTTACACCAAAACTGAAGTAGTCTCAGACGCGCGATCTGAACGACGGTGGAGAATCTTCAGTTACTACATCAGCAGCTTGGACTGAACAAGAGTGGGAGACGCGTGCACTCAGTGGATCTGTGCTTGACAATGCAGCCCGGAGTACCCGAGCACAGATTCCCTGAGGTCAGCACAGAGCGCTTCGTCAGAAGTTGATTAAAAAAAAATATGGCATTGCATATCGTTCGATTAATAGGGCGTACCGAACCAAGACCACTGTATCGAACGGTTCAATACAAATACATGTATCGTTGCACCCCTAGTGTTTATGGGTCTGAGAAATGGATGTTGGCTCTCCTTCCACACATCCCTTCTTCTCACCTCATCTCTCTCTCTCTCTCTCTCTCTCTCTCTCTCTCTCTCTCTCTCTCTCTACCAGGGCTTATCTCTGTGTCATATGACGAATGGGACTACAACATCGAGGCCAGGGTACGTGATGCAGTGGCTGTCATCGCCACGGCAACCTCCACCATGATGTTGGACCGGGGGCCACACACCCTACTGAAGTCGAGCTGCCTCGGGACGCCTGACAAAAAGAGCTCGAGCACTGGCCACTCCAAGGAAATACTGAAGTGAGTAAATGCAAAAGTGTGTGTGTGTGGGGGGGACAGAAGTCTGAAATGTAGAAAAAACAAGGCTGAAGATGTTTAACTAAAACCACACCTCCCCAACAGTCACCGTCCAATCACAGTTAAGCAGCTGTAACAGCAGACGTGTCACGGTTTGGATTTGTAGCATTGTGCATGGAGCTGTGGTGAAAGTGCTTGTGGGGTAAACAAAAGTCCAAGGAATAGATTAGACTGTGTGTTTATGTATGCCAGTAGAAGCTGCAAATGTTAGCGTGAAAGGCTAACTACCTTTAGCAGCAACCTAGCATTGTTTCCAAAGGCAAGGTCATTAGCAGCTGCATTATTTAGAGAGGTAACCGATTATGTCAGAAAAATATCTGTTCATAGTGAAATTTCAGGATTCATTTTTTTTCTGGGATGTGCAGCTTTTGTCTCAGTGTAGCTTTTATGTGCTACATGGTTTTGCCATTTGTAGGCAGAGATGTCTGAAGCCACCACTGATCAAATGTGCATCACTTCAGTCAACAGCTATGAATTTCAAGTGGTAAATATGCCACTGTTACTGTGTTACGTTTCTTTTGTGTCATGGGAGGACAAAGAGGTTGACAGGGGGACAACACTAACTAAGTGGGGTTGGGTAAGAAGAACAAGCCTTTATTTGTCTCAAATGCATTGCAGAACTCTGAAACTCTCTTATCACCTATCCTATATGTTGGTCAGAGTGCAGGGTCAGCCATGATAAGGTGCCCCGGAGCAGTTAGGGTTAAGGGCCTTGCTCAGGACCCAATAAAGGCAGCTTTTATCATCCAACCTTACAAGAATTCCTGGTGAAATTGCAAGTGTGATTGCAGATGAGCACACGTACAAGAGGAAGCTGGTTTTGAAACTATGTCCGTACCTGCTCTACCAACAGTCAAGGCATATAATAAGAAACAAAGGCTTTGGTTAAAGCTGTCAAATGCCCCTCAAGATGAACAGGTTTGCTTTTACATTATATTTTCTGCACCTATTGTTTCCTGTCCACGACTTCAAATAAACAACCTATGCCTTTGATTAAATATTGTTTTGAGTTGAAGCCCAAGTCCAGAAAAAGACAATTTCCCTAACTGAGAAAATCATAGCAAATGTAAAAACAATAAGTTACATTCTCCCACTTTTATAAGCTTTGAAATGTATTTTTGTGCCGAAAACGAACAAGGCGTCATGCGCAATGCAAGAAAATGGGCATAACAAAAGCAGATAAAATCTCTTTTAATTCGTATGAATCAGAGCCAAAGGAAACGCCTGGTAACACAAAAAACAACAAAAAACATGAAAATTTAGATCTTTAGTTGCTGAAGTATGAATTATTAAAACAAATCCAGCAAATGCGCTACCACACGCATGCAGCACAGCGTAGACTACAAACATGCACAAGCATTTACAATGCAGACGCGTTCCCTCGGGAGCCACAATTTGTTTTACCAGCCAAAAAAAAACTTAAAACACAAGATGAACAGAGACGTTAACTCTCAGACTTGTAACAACAACCCTTCTTATCTTTATCTTAACCCACAGCCATCTTTAAAGGAAAACATCCTTCGTCTCCTCTTCCTCCGAACCTCCTTGTGTTTTTTTGCTTTTTGGCACATTTCCGTGCACGAGAGAGCATTGGTATTCAATAATTAATCCCCATTTAACTTCATAGGGCATGCTTTTACTGTTAACATTGATCAGAGATTTTCACAGCTAATTGAATGCTTGGGGACAACTGGATTAATGAATAAGGAGCCAAAGAACAACCGCAGGGTTATCACTAGCACACAGAAACACACATGCAAACACTGACACACACATGTGTCTTAGTTTAGTATGACATTTAAGTGTTCTTTGGGGCTTAATCTAATAAAACCTCAGTACTACTGCTACTATCATTCATTATCAATACGGTTTTTTAGGCTGGAAAAACTATGCACCTGTCCGTTTTGCTTAGCCCCTGTTAAATATTTTCTCTCTTTTCGTTTGTTTTCTTGCTGTCAGTTTGAATTTGAGGAATGTGCAGTAATGTTATGCAACCTCTCCTGCCACTGCAGCATTAATCTTAGGTTGAGGTTGATGTATTACTGCAAAAATTTTTTAGGTCTTGTCTTTACCCTTGTTTCTGTTTTTAATATCAAGAGCACTTACACGTGCCATTGAGGATTCAGCCACCAACAGGACTGAGATAACAATAACACCACAGCCATGAAGAACACTCTCACACACAAACACACACACACTGGGGTTAGCGTTCAATCATCCTACAGGCTCACACCTGGGATGTTCCTGTGCTGTGTTGAGAGTGATGTGTCTGAGTGTGTGTTTTCCAACCAGCCATTCCATTTTTCTCCATTTGACAGAGTGAAGGTGGAGAATTTGGATCGGTGGATCTTGATGGTGACTCCAGGGACTATCAAACGCCTAACACACACACACACACACACACACACACACACACAGACAATTCCACCTATTCCATCCCTACACCCCCAGAGACAAAAGCAATAATAAGACCATATGTCTCTGCGTGGTCCTGTATAGCTGGAGGCCACAGTGGGATGCATGCAGGCTGGATTAGCATGCCATCATGTCAGCATTGATGGACGGAGATGGGAGACCCCAGTGAGTCACGCTCTCAAATATGTTTAGGGGCTGCTTGACCTTATGAGGCACATAAAACACACAAACATGCATACATAAATACATGCATGTATCGCAAATGCTGGCACGCTACAACGCAACTCAAATAAGGAAACACATGCACATAGAACTCTGGAGGCCATCCATTGTTTCCTGCCTGACAGAGAGGACAGGAACACCAGGATAATGAGAAAATGTACTCCAAGTGGTTTTGGATGAGGCGCTAAGGGGCCTGTTTGTGTGTTGCAGGGAAAATGATCTGATTTTTTTATTTTTATTTTTTTACTATTTGTGTATGTGTGCTCACATTGAAATTCCCTCTCAAATCCTTGTGCTGATATACAAACGCCGCACTGGTAAATGTGATGGAAGAGGTGATTAATGTTTTGTAGTGAGCTCGCTTTCATGCAATCTGATGACACATTTGTTTGCCGCACGCGCTCAGTTCAAGCCTTCAGTAGAGTTCAGTAGGAAACCTTCTCTGCAGGCCATCCAACACTCGCTACTTCTCATGCACGTGAGAATAACATGTTCCTCTTGTCTTATTTCACCTTTAAAGTATTTTTTTTCCTGCAGCGGGATAGCGGTATTATTGCATTTCTTAATGGGCACAATTGAAGCAGCTGTCCAATAAATCCTGTGTTTATTAGAAGGCAGGCGCGCCATTCCATTGTGCTTCTGGGCTGTTAGAACGTAAATGACTGAATCTTTTCATCAAACCTGCTTTGACATTGAAGTGGTTTAGAGTATCAATTGACACAATTCTGTCGTCTGCGCATCGTGTCATTCGCTTCATTTTTTTTTTCTTTTCTTTTTGTATGTCTCTTTTCTTGCGTTAACCCCTCTGGTCCTCTTTCTTTTCCGTCTCTCGCTCTGTGAAGCTCACTTCATTCTCCCTGAAAAGCTGTTTCAATTACATGAAGCTAAATCATTCAGTCAGAAAGTAATGGTGGCTCTTTTCCACACGCCTCCCCCTTCCTCCCTCTTTTTTCTTCCTCCCACAAAAATGGTTGATCCTACTTTTCTATATATAAATACGCGAAAGGAGGGAGGATTAGTGTATTTCGGAGCAGAATTCAACCTGAATTCAATCCCTGTCCTCTCGCTGCGATGACTCATTACTATAAGGGACTTTAAAATGCCAAAGAAAATAACTAATCAATATTTCATGTGGCCTTTTGCCTATTGGAATGTTCATTTATTGGATCAGTGAACACTAGTACGCATATAACAAACCTATGTCTGCTATTCAGTACCATATGTAAGAACTGACTGATGATTTGTAGCTCTAAAAATTCACTTTTTGTCGATAACCTTAGGTTTATTTCTATGTTTTATTCTAAAAGAAGGCATGAAGGACTCTCATACTGATAGAAATTTTTGAGAGTTAAGGTAGTAAAATGAGGAAACATTGATATGCTGATTACTGTCTCTCTTGATTGTTTTTCTTGATTCATTGTTTTAACTATAAAATGACAACAAAAAAAAAACAACAAAAACTGCACCAATAACATTGCAATTTTCCATCTACAAAATACCTTATTTGACCAGTTTGCCTCCATATGAGACAAAGAAAAGCAGTGAATTCTTACATTTGAGAAACTGGACACCACAATTTTTGACATTCTATTATCTCTAATTGATTTATTGACTATTTTTTCACATAGTAAACACACATGTCATTTCCACCAATCTCATGCACATCTTGTGCTGCAATTTCTTGTTCCTCATTAGCTGACATGAGTTTGATAAAAGCTATCAGTTGTGTTGATGCAAAACCTTTGTCACGTGTAAATTCATATTTCACTGTTAGTGACCACTGAATATAAAATCTGCCCTTTTAGTGCAGAATTTGATTTGTTGACCCACTTGTGATGTTACCTGCATACCAGCATCTTGTGATTATTTTTTCCATTTTCAAGCTTTATTTTATTTATTTAAAATGATCTGACCTCAGGGCTGCAAGGTGGCGCAGTTGATTAGCGCTGTTGCCTCACAGCAAGAAGGTCGCCGGTTCGCATCCCGGTGGGGGTACCAGGATCTTTCTGCGTGGAGTTTGCATGTTCTCCCCGTGCGGTGTGGGTTCTCTCTGGGTTCTCCAGCTTCCTCCCACAAGTCCAAAAACATGTTGAGGTTCATTGGTGATTCTAAATTGTCCGTAGGTGTGAATGTGAGTGTGCTTGGTTGTCTGTCTCTAAGTGTAGCCCTGCGATAGATTGGTGGCCTGTCCAGGGTGTCCCCTGCCTTCGCCCTGCTGGGATAGACTCCAGCCCCCCGCGACCCTAGTGGGGATTAAGCGGTGTATAGATAATGGATGGATGGATCTGACCTCATCAACTTTGCTT